GTTTTGTCATTTGAATATGCTTTCCAGTCTTTATGTTTGAATATACTTTGCACTTGTTGTTTTTTATCTATCTTTTTGCCTCAAAAAGTAAAGAAAAATCGCAATGTTTGGTTTTATTTGCGCAATAAAGGTAAATAATCCAATCAAACGACCGTCTAAATCACCAGAAGACTGACCGCTATGCGTTGCGACACTGGTCAAAGCAGCAGTTGCCAGATGCTTAACTGAAGAGCTAGCTTACGAATTACTGTTGAAAAAAGTACCTAAGTTACCGAACTAGAATACTCAACTTTATTAGGTCCACTACGGCAATAAGAGCTCTCCAAAAGATGCCGTTTTAAGAAAATTAAGAAAGCTGTTCGTCGCAAAATAAAAACAGAATTAACGGGGTGGAAAATTCGGAAATGAGTGTAATGTAAAAATTTAAATTGAAAATATACTTGCGTAGCATAGCAAGAGAAAAGGAGGTAGTTCGAAAGTAGCCCTGTTGATAATGCATTGCCCATCTGCTGGCAAGAAGATTGTTTGATGGCTCCACTCACTTCAGAGGATTACTTAGAAGGATGTAGATGGCGATTTTGACTCTTTGGCTTGTGGCTGTACCAGTATGTTTTTGAAATGAATGAGGACAAATTATAAAGGAATCAGAATTTCAGACATTTGAAATTCATAATACTATAATTAGAGAATTATTGCCTGCAGCTCTTTGCAGGCAGCGTTTGATGAATTTTCATTTTTTCTTTTTTTTGAGAAAAAAGGCCAGTGATATGATGTTATTAAGAATGTTACATTCATTATGCAGTAAAACATATTTACCGAGGTTTCATTCAAGTATTTTTAAAAATATGTTGCGGCCTTCTGTTTTGAGCTCTTTTCATCCATATAATTTCGTATAGTCATTCGAGCGGATCCTTTCATCGTACTGACAATCTTCCGTGTGTTCTTTTGTCTTCGTGTGAACAGCATTCATTAATCCACTTTGTCCATCTGTTATCACGCATTCTTGCTCGTAAAGTGCACCCCATTTTTCTCGTTCCACTTCAGGTTCAGCCATTTGTATGCAAAAAAAGCGCTCATTGTTATGTTTCGTGTAAGAAAAAAGCTTTTCAGGAGGTAGCATCGATGTTCACTGGTGGCCCGCCGTACTTGAGCCTGCAGTACGGTCTCAACAATAGCTGGTATGTTACGTTTGAATCGGAAGAAGCTACGCAGCGTGCATTTTTGCATTTACAGAATCTTGGCAAAACGTTTAACAATAAACCGATTTGTGTAAGTTTTGTATTACCTATGTGAAAAATGTTCCATGACATTTTTCTTTTCCATGCGAATGGCTGTTTCGTCACGAATTTTAAAGAAATTGAAGTGAAAGAAAGGAAGAAGTCAACTGAACACCTGTGATTACTGTTTTCTTCTGTTGGTATTCATTTTTATGAGTTTTTCGTTTCTCAATATTTTTATGAATTTCATAGATATCCATTTACCATTAGTTTCATGAGAATTCGTTTTTCGCGAGTTTCATGAGTGTCCGTTTTTCACGAGTTTCATGAGTATTCATTCTTCATGACTTTCATGAGTATGCGTCATCCTAATCGCTATTTATTGTTTGAAGGCACGCATAAAAACAGGTGGAGCGCCTTGTTCGGAACCAATAAATGTGGTACCGGAACGATCTGCCCCCGCGGTGCCATCGGACGCGCCAGCTGATCCGGTGGTATTGAATCCTATTCCTCCTCCTTCTGTTGCTGCTTCGCCTTCTTCATCTGGTAAGGAATTTATTGGACTTGATTTAACTGAATCTTTCCGTCTTACACCCCGTTGTTCGCTATGCCTTACTGAAAAATCTTACTGTTATTGAACAGAGAAGAAATAGCATAATTGTCATTGATTATTTGATGTTCCTTCGCTTCATCGCTCTCTCGTTTCTCGGTCACATGAGCGGCAAGCAGGATGTAAACGCTACTACAATTGGGAAAGTGAACTCCGATGAACAATAAGACACGTTGCACTCATAGCATAAATCATCGTAAACTTTGCATAGAGGAAATGAACAATTTCCGTTTACGGTCGCTCTTTGAGAATAAACTAGCTCTTCAGTGAGCATTTTCCCCGCCAAAACTTTTGATTTCCTGCACTTGGGAACCACGAATACCTGGAGGCTGAGTTTGAAAAATACTTGCCAATAACTGTGGACGTTGTGAATCAGTGACTGAATACCCACGAGAAAGTAAACGATCACTTGGGCATTTTCAAAGAGATGGCACACATACATCGAATAGGTGATGGGCGCTAACTGAGAGTACGCAGACCACGATCGAAAGGCCTGGCAAGCGGCATCCCAATAACATCGTTAACATCTGAATGCCTGCATTGTTAGCCCGAGCTGTCTTAGTATTATTGGCATTTAGTGTTCAGTTGCTAATTGAATTAACGCAGAGTTATAAGTGTTATCCAAGGATTAGTCATGTCGCAGTTTATGTCCATTTTATTTCTGCTGTCCTACAGTCATGAAATAACAAAATTCGACCGGGGTATCGCCATAACCATTACTGAAAATTCTAGATAGTTTTGATTTGGGCCAAATTTTGGCCAGTTACGGGTATGTGCCGCAGGCTACTTTCAAGCCAGGTGGTGCAACGGTTGTTCATATATCATCGGCAGCCGTCAATATGGCCCCCAATCGAACTTTTGGTCAACAACGATTGCGTAATTCCGCTCCCTCAGCAACGCAACAGCTTTCTGCACCTCATTTTCGAGGTATATTTTTTTGCTACATTTTTTAAATTTACTCTTGTTTGTCCTACGTAAACTGTTAATTTTATTACAATTTCGGGTCCGTTACATTGATTGATTTTGGCAAAAATTTCAGTTTTGTTTTTGTTACTGTAACACTATAGATTGCCTGTCCTATTTCAGTTCAAATCCTCAACTGAGGCATTTGGAGTGGTGGACGTTTTTCTGTGTTGTTACAGAAAAATCCCTTGCTTCCTTCCTATAGTTGTTTTAAAATTTTTAGCAGAAGCTAGTTTAGGCAGTTGTTTTAGAAATCAGTAATACTGATGACTCCGCGGAATGATAGCTCCAAATGATTTCGGTGATATCCACAAACAATTAAGATTTGCGCCTAAAACCTCGCTTTCTTCCCATAGAAAGGTCAAAATCCCCTCCGTATTTCTGTAAGGCAGAAGCGCTCGAGAGGACGCCCGAACGGCAACAAATACCAACAACAACTGCTTGTTTGCAAGCCTGTCAATGGCATTATAGTCATTTTTAAGCGAGCTTTGGCATTCCGGTATGCGTCAGTACCAATTTACCATCGAAACGAATGAACGAATTGTAGAAGGATTGACTGTCCCACTGGCGAAGTCGACCCTTGACTCTCAACTTTACAGCACATTACTTCGCTATATCTTCGCTTATTATTTGTTGGTACCACTGGAATGCTGATTGTAGGTTCCAGTAATCGTGGTCGAGGAGGTTTTATGTATAATCATCAACGACCGTACGGTGGTGGCCATCGTGAATTCAGCATGAGCAGTACTAGCTATCAGCAGCAACACGGCGGTGGTGCACGGCGACCTCCGGGCAATCAGGGCGATGCTCATCGAGATGGTTATCGGGACCGAAACAACGATCCCACCACTACCAGCACATTTAATCGTCCACGAGGCCGGCAAAATCGTCCCAATCATTATAATTATGGTATTGTGGTGTCTTCTAAGTTTATTCGTAAATGTTTGGGTGATGCTTGAAGAGGTGGTGCACACACGTCCATCGAATGGGGTGGTGGCAGGCACTAACTGGGAGTATACGCCCCAGGATCGAAAGGTTTGGCATAGATATGCCTAGTATTTTGGTAACTTCACTAACATGGAATATCCACATTGATTGTCTGAATAATTTTGATCATCTTGTTGTGGGATCAGTGATTATAGACGTACATATAATGGTGTCAGTGGTAATTTTTGGGGCAACTAAAGTTAAGGTATGGCTTTTCGTTTTGCTGCAGCTGATGGATATCGTCATATTACGCCGGAAAAAAGTACCATTCAAATGGCTCAAGGAAAAAAAATATGTGAATCTATAAGTGATGGATGCTAACTGAGTAAAAAAGCTCAGAAAAAGTGGACTGTACATGGGTTGTTTGGAGCAGGGAAGGGAGGATGGAGAGTGAGTGAGGGAGAGGAGAGGGAGGAGGAATCTTATGGTGCCAGAAAAACTTGTGCTCCCAGAAACCAATTTTTTAAAAAAAACCTATAGTCCCAGAAATCTACAAGCCTGTGGGACTCATAATCATAATTTTATAAAATCCGTGTTTAAATGAAGCATATATTCGGTTGAAATTCATATTTCACTTGGAGCAGCTACCAGTTCACCAGCGATTCTTCAGTGATCTAGCCGACAAACTTGCCATTTCTTTCCTTCAGCATTTCACGACAGTTGCTGCGCACTTGATACAGTAGCAGTTCTTATCATCAATTAGTTTCTAGTTTTTACCACTTAAACACCCAAGTCTAACCTGACTGCCACGATGCTATTTTTAGGTGGATTGCGAAGTCGAACGCCCGTTGAATCTCATCAGCTTGCTCAGAATGACGTACGACGACGATATGATTACGAGCAGACAGGCGGCCGGTAACACTTTGCATATTAGTGGGTGGTAACGCTATCACTTTTGAAGCAATAAGAAAAGTCTGAAATTTACGTTCTTAACGTATTAATGGGTAATACCTACGAGGATGAAAGCAACCATTTGGAAAGATTCTCCGTCTATGCGATGGAGATGGCGGGAGGGCCAGAAGGGGACATGCGGGGTGGGGGTGAAGGGGTTAGTGTAGATATTTAAATCCACGAATGGAGAGAGATTTATTATTTTCGCTGCGTTCAGGATCTGGATTTACTGAAATAGCATCAAAACTTCGTAGTCTGACGATTTTGCTGATAATGAGCAAACATACGTGCCTATGTATTTACACACATCCTGTGAATCGATAGAACTTGATGATACATGGACTGTGTTTTTGAATAATTGTGCTCTCTTTCCAGGAATACACAGACAAAACAACAACATCAACAGCACCATCAACAGCAGCAACAACAACAGCATCAGCGATCGAAGCAGCAGCAAAAGGAGTTTCATGCGGTAAATGGAGCTTCTACGTCGGGATCTTTG